ATATACATGCTCACATTGATAAATTAAAAGCTATTGCAAAGGGTGGTGGCAGTTCTTATTAAAGTTCAAGAATGATAGTCATTCTCATTCTACTTTCTTCATATGTAAATGACATAGTTGCTCACAAAGGATAAATGTAAAAGAATCAGTTGTGCAATTGTTTAAACAGGGATACAGGTAGACCCATTGCAACAATGAGATGTACAAGACGTACATCGAAAAACAAACTTTACAACTTTGATGCGGGGATAGGGGTAGGGCAGAGGGGAGAGATGGGAAGGGAAGGTGGGGGAAACAAAGGAGGAGGCAACAATGCTTGAAAAGAAATGTACTGATTACCTTGCTCATGTAATTGTAATCCCTCTGTACAGTATTTTCACAATAAAAAAGAGTTGTGTGTCTACATTATTATGCTGCTTTCTCAGTTTTGAAAAACCTTATTAGCTAGAAATATAGCGCAGTATTTATTAAGCATGCAGGAGGCCCTGGGTTGTATCCCCAGCACTAGAAAGCAAGAAAGCAACAAAAAATTAAAACAAGTTGAGTGTGGTGGTACATGCCTGTAATTCCAGCAGTGAGGAAACAGAGGCAGGAGGGTTTTAAGGCCAGTTTGCACTACATAACCAAACTCTGTCTCAAATATTAAACAACACATCACAACCAACCTTTGCAAGTTTAAAGAACATAGCTGTAATTTTGAAAATTTGAATAAAAGTAGATTTTCTTCAATGGAGATGAAACATTTTTAAGTCACCTTAAACATTTTATTGCTGAGTGAACAAGAGCCAATGTAAACAACCAAAGATTACTCCACTACTGATCAAGACTCTGTTGTGTGAGCTTCTACCTGCTTTATCAAACTTTCTTCTTTCTCTGCCTTAACTCTTCTTTCTCTCACTCAATGAAGTAGGCAAAACATTGAACTTAAAGCCATATATGGGAGAGCATACATATATACTTTGGGATGGGTAAGTATTGTGTTTTGAAAGTATGGAAAGAATGTTTTTCAGAAGGAAAAAAGTTGAACTATAAAGTTAAGCAAACCTGAGATAGTTACTTCTTAATCTGGGCCATGTAATCCTTTGGAAGTAAGGACTATGTCCACCATATTATAGTCTAGGATTGGACAAGAGGTGCTTATACACTAGAGAACTTGGGATGGACAGCTAAAAGTCACAGCCAGTATTTATAATTTTAAACATGAACACATACTCTAGAGCCCATACATTTTATTTTTATATAATAATGTAGGCTGGTTTGTGGATAACTGTGCATTTTAGTAGAAATAATACTGTGAAGGTATGAAAATCAAAAAGCTACATTTTTTTTCTTTTTCCTGGTATTCCTGACTGCATTGGTCTTGCAGACTTCAGTGACCTCCAGAGGCAGTAGGACTTTGTATGAACTGCCTCTTGTTTAACAGCATGGGCACAAATGAGCCATAAGATGGCGCTATACTTTTATTTTTGGGCCTCAGCAACATGGAAAAAACTGGGAGGTAAGAAGCTGAGATTCCAGAACTCACTGGGTAAATCTAGAAAACTGGTAAATGACCCTGGTAAATACCATTTCTGTTAAGGCCAACAAAGCATATTGATTTTCTTCTAAATCCTCTCTCATAATGTCCAACAAGCACCTTAAAAGCTGCAGAAAACATCCAGTTTACATGAAGAAAACATCTAGCTTATTAGCCATCACCAATCCTGATAAATACTATTCCCTCAAACATTATACATAATGACAAAAGGTGGTGACCACACACTGAAGTAAAGAACAAGAATTTATTTTTTAGCTCTACTTAAAGGAATACAGCTGGTTATGTAGTAAAACATTTAATAACACTTAGTTATATCAACATAAAAAATAGCTGTAGCAATGATCAGCACATGCAATCACTCAAGGTAATACTACATACAACACTGTACCTCTTCTAAAAAAAGAGGAAGTAAAACAGGAAGTGAAGGTGAAAGGATTGTACAAGTGAGGAATAGTTAGGACCTAAAAGGGACACACATAATGCTATAGTCACCGCAACTGTCACCCTAGCAAATGGCACATTACTTAATACATTTTCAAATATTCAGCTTTACAATATCCCTTTGTTTCTGACACATCACATCTGGCATTTTGCAACCTACATTTGTAAGACAAGGCTAGTAGTGTTCAAGGGGGAACCAACCTGGCCCATCTCTCACCACGGGCTTACGTATATCTGTCATGACCCATCAATAGTAATGAGTAATTGGGTAACAGGATTAAACTAGTCAGTTGTGGGAGTAATCAATAATGAAAAGCCCTTAAAAATATAGGGACAAATAGAGCTTACCATGAGTTGCCTGTTTATGTTTACTGCAATGCAATTAGAATATTGTGTAGATGCACAACAGATTAATCCAAACTTTTGAGTTTTGTTCTGATCTCATCAAATTGTCTGACATCATCAAAAAAGTCTGAAAAGGAAATTCTGCCAAAGACTCACTCAAAAATTACATAAGCTGTACGTTTTCTAGTTTATTATTTTACTGAAACCTGATAATGCTCAATTTTAGGTTAATCCTAAATATTTTGCCATTTTATATCTGCAAATTTTGACTTATAAAAAGTTACATTTTTTTAAAAAAAGTAACCTTAGTTTTAGGCAGAAATGCCTAAAACAGAAAGCTATTTCAAGAATTCTTTTGAACAATTGACCTTCAAATCTTATGTACCTTATTTTGATGTTTTACTCTTCTCACTAAAACATTTCAGACAGAAATGTATGGCTTAGGAATTTAACTAGCTGAACAAAGACAGAATGATGTGAAATGTAATAGAATGGAATGATGTAAAACACAGCAGACCGAAATAAGGCTCCCCTGGTTATTTTCCATGGCTAATGTAAGTCCAGAAAGCGGAACTATTTTGGAGAATGCTATATGATTATAGAATTCTATGAATACTTTCTCATTTGTATCATGGTTTTAACTAGTTCATTATATGGAAAGGAAAAGACATTTTAAAAAGTTCTATTTGTCTGATTCGTGTTTCAAAAAGTACTTTAGCTATTCTACATTAATGAGCTTCAATAAATGTCAATTTCCTTAAGCTTGAATTTCACAATGACTCAGTGCGGCAGATCCCTTATCAAGGCCTAAGGCCGAAATGAACCGGTAGAGAATAGACCTGAAGGTGTACGTAAGGCTGCCTCTCCTTCTTGCTCCTATACAATGCTCAAGAGGCTTCTGAGTACTGACATATTCATGCTAAAAAAGGACTAAAATTGTAGAAAACCCCAAAGTTCTACAGCATTCTATATTTGTCTATTCAGCATTATATATTTATTAGAAATAAAGATAGAAAACTAAAGGCACCAGTAACTGACAGTCCAATTATATAGAACAACATGTGTAGTAGTGAATCTCTTTCCCTCCTAAAGGGCGCAGCTACATTAGAGGCAGTGGATTAATTTTATCCACTACAAGACTGCTTTTTTGACTAGGCAGGACTTTCAATCACATGTGTTCACACTGAAGACTTAAAGAATATTAAATGCACTTTCATTAGACTAGTTTTTACATAAACCAGATTTATTGCTTTGCCTATTAAAGTACAATGCACATGCATCAAAACACAGATTATTCTAAAACATGCTTTAGGAAAGTAATTTTTATTTAAGACAAGCTTTATGATTTTCTCTTTAGGGAAAAGATGCACCTTCAATATTAGTGCTCAAATATATACTTATTTCCTGAATGAATTTTTGCACAGTAACAATTTAACCTTCTTATACGTATAAAGTGCTGGGTGGGCAAGGCATTCATTCTCTGTGAATGTTCCGGATGGAGCTCAACATGCAAATCTGCTTACGTGAGGGCTTCACTTCAATGACTCCTCATTCTTAGTCCCTTGGATCACAAGTACACAGTTTATACCTGTCTCTTCAGCCCCCAAATGTACAAACTTCATATGATAATGTTCTTTACACTACTGGTTATGAGGAAGGCCACAGCTAAATAAGATTACAGCAATACGATTACTTGTGAGGAAATTGAAAAATGTTATAGGTGCAAACTTCTGGACAGATATATACATAGACAGACACACTCAGCCTTGATCTGGCCCAGTCTTTGATGACCAACTTTGAACAGTGGCGATACCCTAACTTTGTAGTGTGAGTTTGAGTCTCTAGGTCCTTACCTGACCTCTCTGGGCCTTCTTTTTCTTATTCTTACCAATCTCAGGTTGGTTTGGCTACTATTACAACAAAGTATCTCCTATATCTCACAAACATATATGTGAAGAAATGAAGATAAGCTATTAGGTATGATATAACAAAACAGTAAGAATGATAAAATATATTTGGGAGTCTAACATGAAAACTATTTTTGAGTAAAACACAGAATTATATTTCAACTGTAAAGGTATACTGATTTTTCTCAGCTGTTTCTTTTTCAATAACCTTTAACAAACTCTTTTAACTGTGTCAATTTTCTGACACTAAGCTTAACGGAAAGACACACCTGTTCCCCCTGAATGCACTGGGTGGTGGAAGTCAGGCACTAATGAAACATGACCATTTCTTCTCATTGTTTTTTCTTTTTCTAGGCCCTAGCATTAGCTTTTGCCTTCATGTAGTTAGGGAATGGCATAAATGCTTCGTGGCTTTACTGCTAAACCCTGAAAGCCTGGCTCACTTTTCTCCTAAGGAACAGAACTGGAAAGAAGAGGTTTAAAATATTTCTAAAGCACAATGTAGAGTGAAATTTCATCCTGCTGCAGCATGGGATAGAATAAAGAGATAGCGGAGTACTATTTCTTCTCACATGTGGTAGCACACAGCTGTAGTTCCAGCTACTCAGGACTGGGGAACAAGGACTGCTTGAGACCAGGCTGGGGACAATCTGGGCCACACAGCAAGAATGGGGGTTTCTCAATAGTAGAACACTTGACTAGCATGTGCAAGGCCCTGGATTTAACCCCTTGTACAGCCAATAAAACAGAACAAAACAAAATTACCCTCCCCCCACCTCTGCAAAAAAAAAACAACACAAAAGAAAACCAATATCATACAAACAAAGAAAAACCCAAACCCTATCTCTTTATTAGATGTCTACAGTGAAGATACTGGCTGTGAGATCTACTGAGATCAGTATGTACAACCCTGGGATTCTGTTTTTGTTGTAATGGATACTGCCCTATTGGTTTGCTTCAAATACCTTAGAAAATTTAAACCTTGGCATACTTATCAAAACAAGGTATGTTCAATTCTACTACATTTTAAGCTGATGACGTGTATAAAGTAGTCTGTCAACCAAATTCCCTAAAGTCTTAACAAGGGTCAATGATATATGCATGGATGTATGTGTCAGTTATATATGTACATGTTATGTGTATATGTATGTATATATGCATGTAGATATTTATATATAGAAAAATACCAAGTGAACCTTTAAAAATAGACAATTATTGTGGAGCTGTTTGAGATAGCTGATGGCGTGTGTTCCTAGCTCCTGCCAGGGCAACTGCTGGGTTTGGAAAATGGATCTGCAAAGAGCCTATTGAGAATAAAAAGCAAATTTAAACAAGTTGAATTGCGAGTTTGATTATGTAATATTTAAAACATGTTGTTTTTTCAAAGTTTAAGCTCTATAACTCCTTTGCTCTAGTAACAACTGATACCCACAGAAAAAAAGTAAGGCATAATTTGAATGATGGTAGACCAATAAATGAACCTCCCCACCATTTCTCATTAGCTCTCCAAAGCTGGGCAGAGCTTTTCATGCCCTGTGGTCTCTTCTTCCATGAAGGAAGTCAGCTGAAGCAGAGTTCTGTACTGCACCTTTTTCTTCTATTGCTCATCCCTAAGCCATTTATTGTGATGGCTTTTCCCTTCAAACCATCAGAGCTGTGCCTGCTGCTCGTTGTTTAAATACCCTGTTTTCTGTGTAGCAAAGCGAGGCTCTACTTCACCAACTTCCGGACATGCTTTCTGTTTCTTTTCAGTGCAAGCATCCTGAGACAGCACAAAGTCATTCAGCTATCCAGAGGAAAAAGTTAGTTTCTGTAGTGCTTAAAGTAGAATCTCAGACATTCTGGAATGACAATGGCCCAGGGGAGAGCGTGTCTTTGAAGGCAACTGATCATCTTCAGGGAGTGAAGATTTTTTTGTATCTGAAATATTTTAGCTTTACTAGACTTTCACTGGGGCATATAGCCACCTTGTCTTACAGTCTGTGGTAAGTAACTTTTAGATATTTCTTCATCTATCACAGCTTCCATTCCAACCGGCTCGAATCTCTCCACTTGTCCCTCAGTCCCAGGGCTAAAAGCATCTACTGCAGAAACTTCTGGAAACATTTTCATTTGCCCGGATCCACAGGACTGTGAAATATGATCTGAAATCTGCTGCTGTTTAAGTCTAACAAAATCTTCCTCACCGCCTAAAGAAACCTGCTTTGACCTTTCAAAATGTGAAATGTCTGGACTGGTTTCAGGCTGACTGCAGTTCTGTTTGAAATACTGTTGCCTGGGCAAAATGCCATCTCCGCTGTCTAAGCTGTCTACCAACTGTAGATCTTCTGGCCGTTCTTCTGAATCTAACAGGGGCTGGGTGGACTCAGATCTTGAGAAGACTTGTACTGATGGAACCTGGTGTCTGTAGCCACTGTGCACCACGGTAGAATATTGGACAGTGCTGGCTGTGTTCTGTGAAGACTCATTTTCATCATTGCTAGAAATGCTTGGTCTAGAAGATGACATGCATGAAGATCCGCCAATACCACTGCTGTGGCCTTCCGTACTGTTTTTTTCCTTCTTGAACAGGTCCAAAGATTTCAGATCCTCTGGGAAAGGCTTTTTGTCATTTGCTTCTATTTCTACAACACTTACATCAGTGAAATTGCCATCAGAATACATTTGATCTTTTGAACTGAAGTTGTGCTACAAAATAGAGAACATAAATTAATACTTACAGAATATGTTTGTTTAAAAACTCTTAGGGTGAATGTAGCTCTAAAGCTTCTTAGTGGTTTTTAGTGGTATAGAAATAATCAGTATCATAAATTGGCTGAATTGCAAATAATGTAAACCAAGCTCAAAAGTCTGGATTGGCTTCTATTTTCTCTTTAGAGTTTCAAATCAATATTTTTGAAGTTACTTTTTTTTTTTGGTCTGTCAGGGGGGCTGAACTCTGGGCCTGGGCGCTGTCTCTCAGCTCTTCAGCTCAAGGCTAGCACTCTACCACTGCAGCCACAGCGCTACTTCCAGCTTTTATTTCTGCTTATATGGTGTTGAGGAATTGAACCCAGGACCTCATGCATACGAGGCAAGCACTCTACCACTGAGCCAACTTCCCAGCCCTGAAGTTACATTTTTGATAAGCTAGTGGTTTAAAAATAGTATTTAATATTTCATGCCCAGATTAGGTGGCCTATGGATAATAGGACATTAAGAAAAATTAAGAAAAAGTCGAAGTTGCATAGCTGAAGTTTTGTAGAATTTAAGAGTTCTCATTTTTAGTTTGTTATAATTAAATTCAAGAGGATAGTATGTACAAATGATTCCCACTCCGGAGTACATTTTAGGTTTGAAGAATTTAGGTGTCCAGAAATAATTTCACCACTATTCAGCCAAGATTTTAATAACTAACCACAAATGCTTTAGTTACTATTATGTTGCAGTTTCAGCATTTCAAGTTTTCAGTTTGCAAGTTCAAATATTTGTAATATTTATGCAATGGGATTATCAGAATATACTATTATGATGATAAGCCCCTAAGAAGAGTTCCATTCATGTATTATGCATTTTCATGTACTATATAATTGAGTCTGAGTAAGTTTAGGATAACGATGATATATCCTAACATGTCTGTATGGGTTTATCTTACCCTTGGTGGTGCGTGAGGTGACCACTGAGCAATATGACTCTTTGAAGGATCAGGTACATTGGGCCAGATGTGTTTTTTAATTCTAAAGAGAAAGAAAACATGACATACATAAAAAAGTATTGAACAATAAGTAGTCTTAGGAACCAAACCAACAAAAAAAATCTATACTACTCCAGAACCAAATTATTTTTCTTGTAAAATATTTTTAAAAATACTGCTAAAAGTACATATGGATCATAATGTATTCATAATGAAAAATGGCTAACAGGGCTAAAGCTATTGCTATTCAACTATAAAATCTCTCAATCAAAACCTGTAATAAAAATCAATTAAGAACATCAGGTACAACAGGCTGCAGCCTATCCCTCCCAAAACAGTAACAAAAAACAAATATCTTTCATTTCTAAAAGTATCCAGATAACAAATCCAATAAAAATGTCATACTGGTACCAAATAAAGTATGATAACTTGTTTTTTCTAAGGAAGAGAGTGGTGCTAGCCCAAGAAGAGACACATGGTTCAGTAGGGCAGAACTGAGAAGTCAGAAATAGCCACAGACTTCTATGGGAAACTGGTTTTTGGAAAGGTGCCAAAACAATCTGCCAGGACTAATACTAGTCTTTCTTTTTGCATAATACTGTTACAATTAGGTATCTGTGAGGAAAAAAGTGAACCTTCACTCTGCCCTCACATAATGAACAAAAATGAACTCAGAATGGATCACAGGTGTGAGTTATAACTACTGAACTTCTAGAAGAAAACACAGCAGGAAATATTTGTGCCACGGGATTAGGCAGATTTCTTAAACTGAATATAAAATGTAGGAACCAGAGGAAAAAGACAAAATGGACTTTGAAATTTTTTTTAAAACTTGGAGTCTTTAACTCCATGAGGAGCAGGATATGTTTTTTTCTCTCCCCATTTAACTTTGTTTTACTAAAAATAAATTCTTGCTAAAAAAAGTATACAAAAATAAAACTTCTCTTTTCTAAAGTCACAATTAGGAAAACAGAATTGCAATGCACAAACTAGGACAAAAATTTAGAAAACATACATTTGAAAAAAATTTATAACAAGAATACTAAAGGACTATTACAGTGAGATCTTACTAAAACAACCCAATTTGAAATTGGGCAAAAGATTTCAATAGACTCATCACGAAAAGACAGGTGGCATGTGAAAAGATCCGTAAGAATCATCAGGGAAATGGAATGAAAACCACAAGGAGACATCACTATATACCCACTTGAAAGTGTCACTAAAATGAAACCTGACAGTACAACATGTGTTGGGGAGGATATGGAAGCCTGCTAGCCAAGATGGCACAGCCACTTGGAAAAAGTTCGGCAATTTCTTTTTCTTTCTTTCATTCTTTTTAATTTTTATTTTCTGGTGCGTGCTGGTTATTAAATCCAAGACCTTGTTCATACTATGCAAATGTTCTATCACGGAACTATATATTCAGTCCTGGTAGCTTGTTGAGCATAAAATCTAGTACTCTTTTTTTTTTTTTGGGGGGGGGGGTCCAGTCGTGGGGCCTGAACTCTAGGCCTGGGTGCTGTCCCTCAGCTCTTCAGCTCAAGGCTAGCACTCTACCACTTGAGCCACAGTGTCACTTCCGGCTTTTTTCTTTTTTGCTTATATGGTGCTGAGGAATCAAACCCAGGGCCTCATGCATGCAAGGCAAGCACTCTACCACTGAGCCACCTTCCCAGCCCCAAATCTAGTACTCTTAACTCTAGTCATTTGTTCAGGATAAATGAAAACATATGCTCATACAGACTTTGTTATGCAAATGTTAACAGCAACATCCTACATAATAACTAAGAATAAGGAAAAAAAAAACAACTCTTAAACTTCCATAACAGATGGGATAAATTTTGACATATCCATACTATAGAGTAAAATTCAGCAATTTAAAGGTGAAAGTATATTTCAGCAACATAACGAATCTCAAAAATGTTAAGCTGAGTGAAGTGGCTCAAGCTTGACTTTTTAGCTACTACTTAGAAAGCAGAGACAGGGGGTCAAACTTTTAGATCAGCCCAGCGAAAAAGTTGAGGAGACTCCATCTCTTTCAATGGCAGGGCAAAGTGGTGTGCACCTGTTATTGAAGCTATAGGAGAAGTACAACTGCTGGGCATAGTGGCGCACAAATATCATTCCAGTGATGTAGGAAAGCACAAGTTGGAGTATTATAGCCCAGGCTTCCCTGGGCAAAAAATGAGACCCTACCTTAAAAGTAACCAATGCAGAAAGGAGCTGGAGGTTTGGCTCACGTGACAAGAGCACCTGCCTAGCAAGCAGAAGGCCTTGAATTCAATCTGCAGTACTGCCAAAGGGGGAATGTGTGTGTGTGAGTGTGTGTGTGTGTGTGTGTGTATGCATTAAATGAAAGATACCATACATTATTCATACATGAATTCCACATACATGAATTTCTAGATAAGGTAGAACTAGTTACAGAAAGCAGATTAGTGATTCATTAAGGTCAGAGGTTAAGGGTGAGCCAGATTACAAAGCAAGGAGGAAACATTTCAGGGTGATGAAAATATTCCATATCTTGTTATGGTCATAGTTATGTAGCTGTATACAAGTATAAACATTCATCCAGCTGTAAATTTAAAATAGATAAGCTTTAGTGTATGCAAATTATAGCTCAATAAAGGTGGGAAAAATGCAAAAATATGAGTAACAGTACTTACAGGTCTCGCTTATTAAAGCAGAACAATACTCCCAGAAGAGTTGTCAATAGGATTGCTAAGCAGACAGGCACAACTATGGCTTCTATTTCTCCTTGAGCTAAAAAAAAGAAAAGGTGAGAAATAATCTTTGATACATACTAAAGGAGAAACATGTAACTTCCTACCCAGATTACTGTTGAAAAGATGGAAGTACCCTACCTAAACTTTTTTTGTTTTTCCTTACTGGCATTTGGGGTGAAAATTACAAATATGTTTTTAATAAAGAGAATTTCTTCAGCGACTCATAGTGTGGTGGTGGGAAAAAGACAAAATGGAGCTATAGGAATGTTAATGAGAGAAGTAGTACTAAGGCAATGCACTTGAAAACGATACAGAGAATAATGAAGAGCAGACATGAAAGGGCAGATTGACAGGACTTGATAACATGGGTCTATGTGAGAGAAAAATGTCCTGGATTTGGACATGGTTGTGGCATGGCACAAAGGAAGAGAACTGTATTTAAAAAAGAAAGAGAGAGTGCCTACAGCCAGGCGCAGGTGGCTCACACCTGTAGATCTGAGGATCACAGTTCAAAGCCAGCCCAAGCAGGAAAGTCCGAGAGACTCTTATCTCTAATAAACCATCAGAAAACCGGAAGTGGCACTGTGGTTCAGTGGTAGAGCGCTAGCCTTGAGCTGAAGAGCTGAGGGACAGCGCCCAGGCCTAGAGTTCAGCCCCCACGACCAACCAAAAAAAAAAGAATGGCTACAGTCACAGGCAGAGAACCTGAATGGGTACATTAGGAAACTGGGCCAAGAATAGAGTTCTGGAAAATACAGAACAAAAAAAAGATCAAAGTTCTTATTTCTTACCAAACTTGGGTGTGGTGAAAGTGAATTCTGGGCCATCCTTGCCACCTTCATCTGTGTATGCTGCCATTCGGACCATGTATAGAGTGTCACTAGTCAGAGAGGACAGTGTGTATTCTGTGTGGGAGGAATCCACATTCACCACTGGAAGAAGAAAAACCCAACTGTACTTTAGAATCCAGTATTCACTGATTTTTGCTTCAGCTCTCCTCTATTTGAAATTATGAAAATATTGATAAGGAATAAAAACATTTTTTCAGAAAATAACCTTGGTAACTCAAATATATCGTTCTGTGAGCACAATTGAGTATTTTTTAAATAGGGGCATGAACATGCCCATATAGCACATATCTATGTCTACTGGAATACCACATACAAGATTATAAAATGAGAGAGAAATTAGAATCAAATGCTTATGGAAAAAATCAGATTCTTAATTACTAGTAGTTTTATTACCTGTTGCATTCCCAGCGCTGCTTCTATAAAATATAGTGTAATTTCTAATAAATCCATTCTGAACATCAACAGGAAGCCGATCCCACTCTAACACAGCCTCGTTTTTCCCCACTTTCTTTGTCCGAACAGTAGGTCCTTTAGAAGGTGCTGGAACAGAATGAATGCATTATTTAGAAAATAACCAGAATTTAGTAAAGCTTCCTTCTGAGAAAATTGCTTTCATATCCTTATTGCAAAGTGATAGGATGTCTTTACTACATAAATGAAGTTACCGTGGACAGTGAGTGTAGACTTACCAGCTTGTTTAAGGTATGCCTTGGTAGACTCAGGGCTTCCTGGTCCGTTCTGATACACCGGAGTCACGGTGATGGAATAGCATATGCTCTCCTTTAGGTTTCCTAAAGTCAGAATAGCAGATTAAGCATTTTTTTCCCACAGTGAAAATTCAATGAATTAGTCTTTACTTTGACAATAACTCTGAATTTGGGGAAGCATTTTTTTTCTTTTAAAACTGTAGGGACCCTTCCCCCACCCCTTACCCCCCAAGTGCTGGAGATTGAACTCCAGGCCTCAAGCTTGGTAGGTATGCACTCTACCACTTGAGCCACACTTCCTGCTCCTCAGTTATTTTCAAGGTAGGGTCTTGCTTTATGCTTGGACTGGCCTAGGCTGTGATCCTCTTATACTCCTTGTGTTGCTGGGGATGACAGGTGTGTGCCCCTGTGTCCAGACATTATGTTCCTCCACTAGCTGGGATAACAGATGCACAGTGTCTGTGACATTGTGTAAGACACAATCTCAGGAAGTTTTATGCCAGGGCTGGTCTTGGGCCATGATATACTGATCTTTGCCTCTTTAGTAGACAGGATTATGCTTGAGACAATGTGACTGGCAAAACTTCAGTTCTCTAAGTGAGCATTGTTTTCTGTGTTCTGGCCGCAATCTTAACACCATAAAACTATGAAAAGTAAAAGGTTGGCTTGTGCCTATAAGCCCAGCCCTAAGGCTGAGGCAGAAGCATGGTGAGTTTGAGGGTAACCCAGCCTGGGCGATTCTCAGATCTCAGCCTCCTGAGTAGCTAGGATTACAGGCGTGAGCCACCGGTGCCCAGCGACTAGTATTGATTTTTAAAAAATGCTTCCCCTGCTTTCTTAAGCATATTGTTATGTCATCAAGAAATTAATAATTTTAAATTCTGCTGTAATGGTGATGCTATGAGGGCCTGTGCTATAATTTTTAGGCTTTTTATTTGATAAGGCTGATAAACAACAACCACGCTACTTAAAACTGTTCACTGTATAGCAGGTTAGTGAGAGCCACATAGCCTATTTTGTGAATAACCCTTAAGGATTACAGCAGATAGCTTGATACTTTGGACTTTTCAATGATCATCATATTATTTGCAACTGAATCGAAATGGTTGTTTTCTTCATTGAAAAAACACATACATGCCAGGTGTCTTTGTTTACTGAATGTTTTAGTTTTCTCTTTAAAGTTACTATATTAAATCATACCATGGGTGGCAGTACCTTACCTCCCAGAACAATGCATTTTAAAACTCTATAATATATACTTTGTCTCATTAGTACTTCTGAATGAAAGGCCTAAGGAAACCTGTGTGTTAGTTTGGATCTTCCAAAAGTGCCTGTGAGAAGTTAGGCAAGTGGCACTGATGCACTACTATCTCCAATAAAGGTACAGAGAGCATATATACATACATGCATACATACATATTGGAAGCAAGGTTGCACTCTACTTCTCTCCTGCTTTATACTTCTGTGGGTGTTCTTAACATATTCAGAGAAGGCCTGAACCCCATTAGAGAGGTGAAGTGTGAAGTGCGACTTGCTGAGACTCAGCCATCTACAATTTGTGGGGCTAGAGTAAATTGGAAGGCTTCCAATGATATGCAAAGAAATATGTTAGCCGGGTGTACTATACCTCTTAAATAGGTGCTGTGTACAGTGCCTTCCTCCTGCTGCCAGTCTGGGTCACAGGGCGATGTGTCTGACAGCTTGCACCATTCAAGTATGTATTTCTTCACAGATTTACTTGGAGACGTCCACTCTACCCAAAGCTTATTATCTTTGGGGAACGCTTTCAGATCCTTTACGGGATGAGAAGCTTTAAAACAAAGTTTGATGCCGATACAAGTGAACAATCACAGATTTGAAATTCCAGCATTTTGCTGTCATCCATTTTGCTGTCACAAACATGTCATTTATCAAGTTTTCCTTAAATGAAATCACCTTATTTTAACTTACTTCTAAGGGAGCTAACTAATTTTTAAACAAATTCTTGCTTTCTCCTAATTCTTTGCTTTTGTATATGCAAAGTTCTATTTTTTATTTGAAAGTACAGAGAAACAATACAAATATAAAGTTCTTAAAACTTTGAAATATTTCAAAAATCCTATTATGTAACCACAAAATACTTACTATCAAGTTTAAGTGACACACGAAGGATGAAAGTATTTCATACATCCTGATGAAATTTGCCTGCTTATCTAAAATATGATCATCCCAAATTCTGAGGTGATCATCTTCGACTATCTGTATTTGTTTTTTCCGTGATCATTGTCCAACCCTAACCACTTTTCAATCATCCCTAAGTCAGGCTCCATCTCAGACACAAACCTTGAAAGTCACGGGCAGGGATGGTCAACACTGCTGCGTCTGACTTGCCAACCAGATTTCTTGCTGCTAGAGTTGCTATATAGCGATCATTTGTGAGGTTTACTGTCAAGTTTGTGTCATTAACTGTGTAATTTTGTAGACGTGATTTCCATTTTGTAAGAGTCACTTCATAATCCAAGATTTTCCCATTGGCTTCAAAAGGAGGCAATGTCTAGAATAACATAGTTTATTTTCATCCATGAATTAATGTCTTGAATAATCAATTTTTCATGTTCACAAATTCTTCCATTTACAAAAAAATCTCTAAACATTTAATGGGCAGAAAACTCATTTTGAACTTTAGTTCTTAAGTAACACTACTCACTGATCAAACAATAAAAGTAATGACCTCAAGGCAAGTAGAAAGAGAGGTAACTGTTAGCAACCAGTTCTGCACAGAATTCTGCAGTACTGCTGTGGCCTACATACTTCATGCTCAAGTCATTAATCTCCTTATCTATAGTATGATCTACTCAAAGCACGTATGTAAATTAATGCGTCAACACATGGATCATCTCAAACATTTATTATTTTCTATGATATGCCTTACCAAATTCAGTGAACTACAGAACAAAGAAGAGGTTTTTACAGGAATTGTATACTTTTATACAAATAAGGTGAAATACTTTTAAGGTATATACCTTTCATAAGTTATATAAAACTTTGTGTTTCTATTTATGAAGAGTTACCAAGTTATTAAGATAAATACTTTAAATGTTAAAATGTACATTCCTAATATCATTAAGTATTCATAAACTATCAAATACATAAGATTAAAGAATATAAACTTGTGATTTTTAAAATTTACCTTCCACATAAGCTGTACAGATCTATAGTCAAGAGTTTTAGATGAATTTATCTTAAACCAGAAACTCGGTGCTTTGGATGGTCCTAAAGAAAACACATAAAATTCTTAAAATGCATTTATCTTAACAATGAAATAAAAATTTAATTATCTCATTTTATTCTTATTGCCTTTCTCATTGCCTATTAATTACTATTATTCCTCATAGCAGCATTTTTCATCTAAATACTGCATCTTCCTTTAGTCAGGGTGCTAGCCTGATGATTTATAATAATTTTATTTATATTATTTTTGGGATGTGGTCTTGCTGTGTTTTCCAGATGATGATGAACAGACGTATAAAAGAATACAATGCAGAATTCAAATAGAATAAAGACCATGAAATTAGTAGTACATGGAGGCAGAGACAGTCCATTATCCCTGAGCCAACAGCAAGAAGAGTCTATCTCAAAAAAATGAAAAAAAAAATCCTAGCTGGGTGCTGGTGGTTCACATCTGTAATCCTAGCTACTCAGGAGGCTGAGATCTGGGGATTAAGATTCAAAGCCAGTCCAGGCAAGAAAATCCATGAGAGTCTATCTCCAATTAACCACCAGAAAACCAGAAGTGGCATTGTGGCTCAAGTGGTAGAGCGCTCACCTTGAGCTGAAGAGGGACAGTGCCCAGGCCCAGAGTTTCAAGCTCTATGGCTGACAAAAAAAAAAAAAAATCCTAACCAGCCATAGGAATCTGGATTAGGAGTTCCAAATCAGCCCACTGCAGGACTGCTTTCTCTGGTGTCATCTGTGAGCATAACAGAGAAAAGCCTTAGCAAGCAGAATACCTTCCTTTGACTTTTCTGGCAGTACTAGAATTTGAACTCAGTGCTTAGTAGGCAAATGTTTTACCACTTGAGCCATGCCCCCCAGCCCTTTTTGCTTTTATGTCCAGGCTGGCCTAGACTGCAATCCTCCTACTTACATGTACTAAATAGCTAAGATAACAGATGTGCACTATCATACCTAGCTCTTATTGGTTGAGATGTGGGTTTCTTTCTTTTTTTTTATTGTGAAAATACTGTACAGAGGGGTTACAATTACATGGGCAAGATAATGAGTACATTTCTTATCAAGCATTGTAGCCTCCTCCTTTGTTTCCCCGACCCCCACTCAATCCTCCCCGCTCCCCCCACCACCAAAGTTGTAAAGTTCATTTTCGACATAACAACTTGTACATCTCATTGTTGCAATGGGTCCACCTGTATCCCTATTTAAACGATTTGTTTTTCCCCTTCCCCTCCACAAATTATACTGACATTAAATATAGTGAAAGCAGGGGTTATACTGTGGGGGAGAGACATACAAAGCAACAAAGAAATAATCTTATAAATGTGTTAAAAACAATGGCAAGAAAGAAAAAAAACATTTGAATACATATCTAAGGGTTCATTTCCCTAACATCACCTTATCTGACCTTTTCTGTTTGACTCAGACATATACTAGATATTGCAAATAAGGGAAACCATGGGACCTATGTTTCTTTTTTTTGGGGGGGGGGAGGTCCGGTTGTGGGGCCTGAGCTCTGGACCTGGGTGCTGTCCCTCAGCTCTTCAGCACAAGGCTAGCGCTCTACCACTTGAGCCACAGCACCACTTCCACTTTTTTTTTCTTTTTGCTCATGTGGTGCTGAGGAATCAAACCCAGGGCCTCATGCATGCAAGGCAAGCGCTCTACCACTGAGCCACCTTCCCAGCCCGGGACCTATGTTTCTTTGGGCCTGGCTTACTTCACTTAATATAATTTTTTCCAAGTCTTTCCATTTCCTAACAAGTGGGGCAATGTCATTCTTTCTGATGGAGGCATAGAATTCCATTGTGTATATATACCACATTTTCTTGATCCGTTCATCTACTGAGGGGCATCTGGGTTGGTTCCATGTATTAGCTATGGTAAATAATGCTGCAATAAACATAGTTGTGCTGGTAGCTTTAGTATGGTCTTGTTTGTGATCATTTGGGTAAATGCCCAAAAGTGGGATTGCTGGGTCATAGGGGAGCTCTATGTGGAGTCTTTTGAGGAACCTCCATACTACTTTCCAAAGAGATGTGGGTTTCTTGAACTTCTTGCACAAGCTGGTCTTGACCTACAATCCTTTGATCTTTATCTTCTGCATAACTAGAACAATAAGTTGAGCCCTCACCCATGACTTATAGTTTTAGCAGAGCTGAAAATGACATATGGAAAGGTAGGTTTTCAAACCATAGCTGCTGCCATTAAGACTAAAGGGTGAGCCTGGGATAGAAAAAAAGTTCAACAAGAAAGGAAAAATCTATATGCCACAGGATTATTTCTTGATGGCTACATTAGATTAGTAATGTTAGCTGCTTTATGAAGTGAATCTTATGATAGATTAAAAGTATGTATTCTATACAATACATATATTGTCTATGGGGAAAAGAAATCACTCCTAAATCCAAAATCATTTCTTTCCCAGGCACAGGAAAAAAGGCTATTAGAAAAAAAATGAATAAAATAGATGACACAGATAATGAGGGCTTAGGCATATTTTAATTTAAAGTATAATTTACTTAAATATTACACAGATTCATACTATCAATAATGCACCTTATTTTTAAATCTTTTTTTCTTTTTGGTCGGTCATGGGGTCTGAACTTGGCCTGGGCGCTGTCCCTCAGCTCTTCAGCTCAAGGCTAGTGCTCTACCACTTGAGCTACAGTGCACTTCTGCCTTTTTCTGCTTATGTAGTGCCGAGGAATCAAGCCCAGGGCCTCATGCATGCAAGGCAAGCACTCTACCACTTAGCCATGAGCCACCCTCCCAGCCCTTATTTTTAAATCCTGATGTCCTTAAAAATGGAAGTGTAAGACACTATGGTTTGAAAATAATGATCACAAAACAAGAAGCAGTGATGCCAGGTGCTGGTGGCTCATGCCTGTAATCCTAGCTACTAAGGAATAGCTGAGATCTGAGGATCACAGTTCAAAGCCAACCCAGGCAGGAAAGTCTGTGAGACTCTTATCTCCAATAAACCACTCAGAAAACTGGAAGTGGCGCTGTGGCTCAAGTGGTAGAGCACTTGCCTTGAAATGAAGAGCCAAGGGACAGCACTCAGGCCCAAAGTTCAAGCCCCACAACTGACACACATACACACACGCACACATACACACATGCACACACACACACATGCACACACACACACACACACGCACGCATACACACACACACAAGAAGCAGTGAGATGTGTATTATCAAAAGCAAATGAAATTCTCAGGCCAAATCCGACTAGCTTTTATCTTCATACACTTTGTTACTCACTGTCTTCATATGTGATTCCACTTGCAACTTCACTCCAGTCACTCCAATAGCCTTTCCCATCTTCCTTCATACAGCGAATCCTAAACACATACTCTGTGAAGGGCTTAAGGTCCTGGACAGTGAATGAAGATCGAGTGGAGACCGTATCTTCAGGAGGGATCTGAAAACAAAGCAGAGTAAATAAACAAATGCAGAATAAACCAACAAAAAACAAAAAAAGCTAAATTGTGTATGACTTTAGAAACCAATTTAATGTAATAAGATTAATAAACTAAATTCAGACAAAGGAGGCAAAATAAATATGCTTATCTTACTTCTCTTCAACCCTTCTTCTTGCCAGTCAAGCCTGCCCCTTCCATTAACTTGTGGAAATACATACATAAATAACTCTGGTTCTTTCAGTTGCTCTGAGATTTCAATATTATTATAAAAATTATGGGGGCTGGGAAGGTAGCTCAGTGGTAGAGTGCTTGCCTTCCATATATGAGGTCCTGGGTTCAATTCCTCAGTACCACATAAGCAGAAAAAGCTGGAAGTGGCTCTGTGGGTCAAGTGGTAGAGTACTAGCCTTGAGCTGAAGAGCTGAGGGACAGTGCCCAGGCCCCGAATTCAGGCCCCATGACAAAAAAAAAAAAGACATTTTTCTTGTACTAATGAATTAAGATTCTATAAAAATAAGATTATTTTGAAAAACTTCAGATGTGTAGTCTTTCTGAACAACATGAGTCATTAGTTTTGTTGTTTTTTGATTGCATTATGAGCCCTTTAAAAAGTGGGATGGAGAACAGAAGTAGTAAGATCCTGGACATAATTCCCCTCATTAGAAGGTATTACAACCAGATCCATAAAATGAATGAGTTCGTGATTAAAAACAAATGCACACTACATTCAGAAAAATGTGAGACTTTAAGTTAGAAGGTTTGAAAAAGACTATCTGAACAAATGGTAACTTTCAGTTTACCTGGCTCCAAGTTGAGGCATCTTTGGTCTTATAATGAATATTGTATTTCAGTCTTATAACATCTTCAACACTTGGATTGATCCATGTTAATTTTAAGATAGTAGACAGTTCCTCTGAGTTGCTCACAGATAAATTACGAGGAGAACTGGGCTTCACTGAAGAATAAATAAATCTCAATAATCTCATATACAAAGTCAGTCTTAATTTTCTTTGTTTTATAATATTTATTCATTCTTATTAAATGAATTAATTTCTCTGAAAATGATTATACTATATCATATAATAGAAAGGAAAGGTTTCCTGGTCTACTTGGTATATTTGTTAATTTTTAAGAGTTAGACAATGATTGTATTAAGTCAAAAACTGAAAAAAAGAGAATAAAACAGGTATACTGTGATGACAATAGATAAAATGATTGAGAACTAGCCAGGTGCTGGTAGCTCACACCTGTAATCATAGTTACTCAGGAGGCTGAGATCTGATGGTGGTGAGTCAAAGCCAGCCTGAGTAGAAAAGACTCATCTCAAAAGCCATCAAAAGTAGAGATATAGCTCAAGTAGTAGAGAATCAGTCTTGAATGGAAAAAGTGAGAACTCAAAGCTCTGAGTTCAAGCCCTACTAATGAGACCAAAAAGGGGGAAAAAAAGAGGGGCTAGGAAGGTGGCTCAGTGGTAGAGTACTTGCCTTGCATGCCTGAGGCCCTGGGTTCGATTCCTCAGCACCACATAAGCAAAAAGAAAAAAGCCAGAAGTGACGCTGTGGCTCAAGTGGTAGAGCGCTAGCCTTGAGCTGAAGAGCTGAGGGACAGCGCCCAGGCCCACAATTCAGGCCCCACGACCGGACCCCCCCCCCCAAAAAAAAGAGAGAGAACTAAACAAAATCCAAAAGATATTTAAAGATTTGGAAAAACAGCCTAGTATAAGTGAAATATGGTCATTTTTCTTTTTCCAAATTATATTTAATACTGCTGACAGAGTAATTGCAAAAAAGCACTATATTGTCTTAACAAATTAATTCTCTAGTTCAGGTTTATAGCTACCTTTATCTACAGGATCAAAATTGATATGATCGGATGTGACTTTCCCAAGGGCATTCTCTGCTTCCACCCAGACTACAAGGTTGACAAAAAACACAGGTACGTATTCAACGAGGCAAAAGTTTGGGGTGTCACGTTTTGCTCTACAGTCAGCAAACTGGCTTGTTGCCCTAAATAAAAAGACAGAAAAAACAACCATTAAAAAACAAATTTGCAAATACTAAAGTAGAAAAGTTTTGAAAAGAATTTGATGAGACCCAATTTGTTCTAGGTTAGTCTGCAAAAATTGTGGCTAAAGACAAATACCATTACTTAAAAATTAACCTGTCTTTCTTTAAAATTGAGTTTGAATTATGTTAAAACAAAATGATTTTCAAATTTTTAATCTGAGAGTACTACTTAAGAATTGTATACTTTGGTTATCACTGATTCTTCTCTGTCCCTTGTGATTCTACAATAACAATCCTGTCTTCTCCACAAGGTTACATTCCAAGCCCTCCAATGCTTGCAACTTTAAGTACCATGTTTTATCTTCTACATATCCATGGCAAAAATGTAATTAGGCATAGCAAGAGATCAACAATAAAAACAATTGAGAAGAACCACAATATACTGTAATAAAGTTAAGTGAGCGTGATGTCTCTCAAAATATGTTAATTATCCTACATTCACCCTCTGTGATGTGAGCTACTGTAATGCCTGTGTGATGAGCTAAAATGAGGTACATGATGCAGATCCCAGAAGGTAGTATCAGGTTGCAATAGTTGATATTTCAACCAACAGTGGGTTGGTGCCCCATACCCACATCCTCGCCAGCATTTGGTTTTTTTTTGATGGCTGCCATTCTGATTGAGGTGAGATGAAATCTTAAATTTGCTTTTGATTTTCACTTCCTTTTTAGCTAAGAACAATTAACATTCTTCATGCATGTGTTAGCTATTTGTTTTTCTTTTTAGAACTGTCTTTCTTTTGAAAACTGTTCAGTTCACCTGCCCATTTATTAATTGGATTATTTTTTCTTTTGCTGTTTATTTTTTCTTTGTGGAGCTTGAATTCTGGGCCTGGGCACTATCCATGAGCCTCTGTGTTCAAGGCTAAGTGCTCTACCACGAGCCACAACACCACTTCTGGTTTGGAGATAAGAGTTTCATGGGGATTTTTCTGCTCCAACTGGCTTTGAACTGCAAACCTCAGATCTCAGTAGCTAGGATTACAGGTGTGAGCCACTGGCAGCAGCTGTTGTTTAATTTTTTATGTCGGTCGTGGGGCTTGAACTCTGGGCCTGGGCACTATTCCTCAGCTCTTCAGGTCAAGGCTAGTGCCTTGAACCACAGTGCTACTTCTGGTTTTCTGGAGGTTTATTGGAGATGTGTCTCATGGACTTTCCTGCCTGGGTTGGCTTTGAACCGCAATCCTCAGATCTCAGCCTCCTAAGTAGCTAGGATCATAGGTGTGAGTGGTCACCGGCGTCCAGCTGTTTTCTAATTTTTTTAAGTTAATCTGAGTATTGATTGTTCATCTGTTGTATAGCTGGCAAAGATTTTCTTCCATTCTGTGGGTTGTCTCTCAGTTCTGATAACTGTTTCTTTTGCTATACAGAAACTTTAATTTGATATAGTCCTTTTGTCAATTCTTGTTTCTACTCTCTATTCAGAAAATAAATGCCAGACTATAACTTCCAGAGTTATCCATGTATTAGATTTAGTTTTCAGGTCTTACTTTGAGTTCTTTGGTCACTTGGAGTTTTTGTACAGGGTGAAAGATACATACTAAGTTTCAGATAGTTTGTGGGTTCTTCCCCTTGTACACTATCACTAGACTGAATCTTATGTCCTGAATGATGGCCACATACCAGAGTCAGTCTGTCACATGCTTATGCCCTGGGCCTGTTTTGCACCTTAATGAATGCAGTATCTGTTGGGTATCTTCTTGCACATGATATTGCTTCACTTTAATCAGTTTCAAGCTGGAAATGTGGCAATATATGCAAATATGGCCTCTTAGGTAATCTTTGTATTTTTTAGTTTAAATATATTCTTGAATCTGTATTTGTAGAAAATGGTTTGGTGTCCCTTGCTGAAGTCTTTTGGTAGTCTCAATGCTTTCTGGACCTGTAAGAAACATGTTCTGGGAACAACATGATGTAACATGGTGCCATCACTTGAAACGTTTTCTGTTTATATCATTCTGCAGGTTTAATGCCTGTTTAAAATCTTAACTAAGTATTTACAAGATTGAAGCTGTCACTTTTGGAGTTTGATGTGCAAAAGCAAAATGAGCACAAATGATCTTTTGTTCTCTTTTCTTTTCATAGTGTAGGGGGGCGTGAACTCAGAACCTCAAACTTTTGCTCGGTTTTGCTCTTTCACTGGAGCCACCCCTCCAGTTCACTTTCTGATGCTTAATTGGAATTAAGAGTCTTGTAGATTTGTCTGCCTGGGCTGATCCAAATCACCACCCTCAGATCTTACTCTCCCCGTGAGACTGGCACTGAGCCTTCTTTTCCTTTTTCATAATTTCATGAATAGAAAACTGGCTCTTAGTGTAGATTGTAGCAACCACTGCATGTACTTTCTTCTTTCTGTAGTAATTAAAGATTTCACCTTTTCACTTAAAGGAAACTTGGAAGAACAGTGTACATTTCTTGCTTGTGTTTCTTCACACAGGTACTGATTTTACCCACAGCCAACTTGGTAGCAAAGATGGCTACTCAGTGCCTGACAGGGAAGTAGCTCTCTAAAGTATGGATATGCTGGGAAAAGAGCCCTAGGTAGGACAGAGATGATGGTGTAAGTCTTCATCAAGCTACTTAGAACAATGTGTAATTTAAAACTAATAAGTTTTTTATTTCTGAAATTGCCCAATTAATATTTTTAGACTATACTCACAGAAAGTACTTACTATACTATTTTTTCTCCTCCTTGAAATAGAATTCTTCCTATACCACCACTGCCTTTCTCTAAACACAGTATGCTAAGAAGATGGGAGATTAGGGGTAAGGGTTTTTAATCAAGCCAGAAAATATATCCTTGGTCAAACCCAGTTAACCACTTTCTGATTGCTATCACCAGAGAAAGTTCAAGTAAAATATTATTCACCTCTGTATAAATTATACCTCAACTTAAAACATTTACATAAAACATTATTTTAAAAAATAAAGAGATAGGGGCTGGGAAGGTGGCTCAGTGGTAGAGCTCTTGCCTTGCATGCGTAAGGCCCTGGGTTCGATTCTTCAACACTGCATAAGCAAAAAGAAAAAAGCCGGAAGTGGCACTGTGGCTCAAGTGGTAAGCGCAAGCCTTGAGCTGAAGAGCTGAGGGACAGCACCCAGGCCCAGAGTTCAGGCCCCACGACAGGACCCCCCAAAAAACAAAACAAAACAAAAAAAATAAAAATAAAGAGATAAAGAAAACTAGAAGAAAAAATAGATAATATCTAGGGGAAAGAAGGAAATAAAGCAAAAGAGATAAAGATGAACCTAGACTCTTTGAATACACCTGATTTCAAAGATTTGACATTTTTGGATAATTTATAGTTTAAAAAAAATCTGTAAAAAGAAGAATAAAACACAGGAACTTGTGTATTGAGTCTGAGGTACAATGACATAGAAATAAACTTATTTTTAGAAAGAAATTATACAGCATCTTATAATAGAAAAATCATCTTAGTAACCATATTGCTGATGCTAACAAGAATTATAAGTCTGCAATTATCTTTGTTAAGGGATATAATAAATGAGTAATTAGTGTTGTCAGGAAATAGAATTTTCAGTACAGAAGAACAGAGATGTAGATAGATGTACAACTTTTTATGATGTACTTATCTTAAACAACACATATTTTCTAGCCTTTTCCATAAAAAAAGCCTAGATTAAATAAGTCTTTAGTATTTCATACTTTTTTGGAACCAGTAGTCCTTGGCAAATGGCAAAGTTCAGCCCTGAGTGAGAAATATATAACATAAAGGAAGCCATCAAAGCCTAATAAAGTTGTATGAAAAGAATATACGATCCAATCTGAGTAAGTCCATGACCAAAGAGAGGACAACAGAATCATCAGTAAGAATAATAGTTATGACAGGCACTGGTGACTCATATCTATAATCCTAGCTACTCAGGAGACTGAGATTTAAGGACTGAGGTTTGAAGCCAGCCCAGGCAGACAAATCTGAGAGATTCTAATTTCCAATTAATCACCAAAAAGCCAGAACTGGATGCATGGCTCAAGTGGTAGAATACCAGCAGTAAATGAAAAAAAGCCCAGCAAGAGTTTGAGGCCCGGAAGTCAAGCTCTAGTACTAGCAACAACAACAACAAAAAAATAAAATAATAACAACCCTAATATATTGAAACTTACCAAATATGTTTATGAATTATTGTTATTATTATTTTTTGTCAGTCATGGGCCTGAACTCTGGGCCTGGGCACTATCCCTTAGCTCTTCAGCTCAAGGCTCTATCACTTGAGCCATAACACCACTTCCGGCTTTTTCTGCTATGTGGTGCTGAGGAATTCAAGCCAGGGCCTCATGCATGCCAGATAAGCACTCGACCACTGAGCCACCTTCCCAGTCCTGTTATGACTTTTTAATGGGGGAGAAAGATCCCACATTATTTACCTTCTGAGGCTGCTAGGAAATCATCATAAAAATGGTAATAAAGGAAAACATTAATACTGTTTTGACTTTCTTATCTGAAGTCCCTTAGGGTAGCCTATTGTTGTTGAAGGGAAATTTTTCAGCTAAGAAAACAAAAGAAGAAGAAAAACAAAAATGAAAGAATCCCCATAATTTTGAGATACACCTATCAATAATGATTACTGTTGACTGCTCAAATCTTTAGGAGGAAAGCAAATGGAAAGCAATAGGATTCACTTAGAAGCACTGTGATGACTCATCATTCTTCCACAGAAGAATAAATACTGTTATTTATTTATAAATACATTATCACATTCCATAACACTCAAAAATAATATAAAGAGAAGAAAATCAGATAATTAGTTGTCTCTTAGGTTGGGATGGTGGCTGGGACTGATTGGGGAGACACATAATAACTTATGGGAATATCAGTAATGTTCCAAAGCTCAGGTTTGAGTTATAGATGTGTACTTGTCAAAATAAATCACTAAATGAGAGACACACTTACAACCTGCATTTTCATTAAATACATTTTAGCTGAAATAAAATCACACTTACAAATTAATATTGCCTACTATTAATCATGCAAATACTTAAAGTGCTTAGGGGTAAAATATACTAATGCCTACAACTATTCTGAATTGCATTAGAAGAGTATGAATAGATGTGGAAAGCTGCATGCAGACCTAAACTGGTATGTGATACAGCAAATACAGAAAAATGTCTATTTAGAATATAGGTGATGGGTATGTGAACTTCTTTCAGTTTTTTTATGTTTGAGAAAAACAAACAGGGAACTTTATAGAGAATGAATACAGTTTAACAACACCTGAAATCACTGTTCAATATTAATATTAGAAAAAGAAAAGAAAACCAGTAATTGGGTGTTCCTAATGGAAGTATACACCTCTTATGAAACATATGAAAAGGATTAAGCCCAAATGTGATCAAATCTAAAGACTAACAGTAACTTTTAGGGAGTAAAAGAACAAGAGCACATATTAACCAATGTACAATAGTTAACTGAATTACAAGTAAAAAGAGGAGTGAGAATCAGGCAGAACTACTACTTAATTAACTATTCCACTTATTTTCAGTATATACAGTTTATTTTGATTCAATATAAACAAAAGCAAAAAACATGTATTCTATGGGACAAATGGGAAAGTTAACAACCACTACAAATCAGATGATATTAAAGTACTTAAAATTATTTAGAGATATATAATATTTATAGAGCCCGGCACTGGTGGCGGCTCACATTTTGCATTGTAATAATATGAATATAAGTCTCAGGTGGCTGAGATCTGAGGACTGAGGTTCAAAGCCAGCCTGGGCTAAAAGTCCACGAGACTATTATCTCTAATTAAGTACCAAAAAAGCGGGAAGTGGAGCTGTGGTTCAAGTAGTAGAGTGTGCTAGCATGGAGTCAAGAAGCTCAGGGACAGTGCCCAGGCTCTGTTCAAGTTCAAGCCCCAGGTCTAGCACACACAAAAGAAAGTTTTAAAAATATTTATGGATAGAATGTATCTAAAGTTTTCTTTAAGACAATATGGGATACAGTACATATAAGTACATATCATTATTTTATACATACTTGATCACTGCTGATTGAGCTAGATGATGGGCACTTATATAATTTTTCTTTTTCTTTTTTTTTTGATGTGTCAGTCTTAGGAGCTATCCCTGAGTTTTGTTTTGTTTTTTTTCCTCAAGACTAGTGCTATACCATTTGAGCCACAGCTCCACTTCTGGTTTTTTGGTGGTTAATTGCAGAAAAGAGTTTTACAAACTTTCCTGCTTGGGCTGGTTTCAAATGGTGATCCTGAGATCTTAGCCTCTTGTGTAGCTTAGGAGTGAGCCACTGATGCCTGGCTATATAATTCTTTTTACTTTTATATATGTTAGATGTTCCAGAATAAATCAAAGATATTTTAAATGTTTCATTCAATACTATTATTTGATAAAAGTTGCAGCAGAAATGGCTCATTTACTAAGCCCAACAGGTAAAACACAGTAACTCACCATGCAGATTTCAAAGTGAAGTTTGTTTCCAAGTATGTCTCCCTTCCAGGATCCCACTGACACATCATACTCTTCGCCCCATTCACAATGCAATTCAGGTTTTTAGGTTTTTCTGGAGGAACTAAAAAGAAAATAATAAGCTATTCTCAAGAAGCTTTACAACCACGCATAGACATCGAAATACTTAAGATTTAAAAAACAACCCCAAGACATAAAATGAATATCATGAACGTCTAGTGATTACAAAGTTAATTTGTTTCTTTTCAAACTCTTTAACTTTTTTAAAAAAATTGTGACTTATTTAGTTTGTTTCACGTTAATTTTGTACATAAATTTGTAAGTGGATAAAAATATCAGTGATTTCTCTATTATGTACATTTTACAAACTGGTATTTATGAACTTGCAACATGCTTGAAATTCTAGCTACTTAGGGGATTGAGATCTGAAGATTGAGGTTTGAAGCCAGCCCAAGCAGAAAAAATCTGAGGGACTCTATCTCCAATTAAACAGCAAAAATGCTGCACTGTAGATGTGGCTCAAGTGGTAGAGCACCAATTAGTGAAAAAGCCAAGCAAGGAGAGGCCCTGAGTTCAAGCCCTAGGACAGTCATAAAAAATAAAAGAGGGTTGAGGGCTGGGAAGGTGGCTCAGTGGTAGAGCGCTTGCCTTGCATGCATGA